TCCTCCCATACAAGCGCACCTAGTTACTTTATGCTAAATATTTCTAAAAGAAGAATCTGTATTAAAGAGCTCTTTGTTTTCCAGATACAAATATGAAAGCTTGGTGACTATTCCCTATATAGGGTATTTAAAAATATATGTGAATAGTTATCTGGTGTACCAGGTGCCTGCAAGTCAGAGAAGATCAGTGCTCACAGGGTATTTTCTAGCTGATGATTCAGAAGTAGTCTGTGAGACCTGTCTGAAAATCTCCCTCTGGGTCGATTGCAACATTCAACCTTTCTGTTAGCAGTCAAGAAGATTAACCCTTTGCACTACCTAGCTACTTCAAATGTGTACTATTCTTGTGCGATGCCATCACGTTGTTTCTGACCCACAGTGACTCTTACGTACAACAGAAAGACAGCACCATCCTCACAATCGTTATTATGTTTAAGCCTGTTGTTGTAATCACTGTATAAATCCATTTCTTTGAGGGTCTTCATATTTTTCATTGCCTTTCTAGCTTTTCCAAGCATGATCTCCCTTTCAGGGACTGATCTTTCTTGTAACATGCACAAAACGTGTGAGAAGACTCTCCATCATCCCTTTTCAGGAACATTCTGGCTGTATTCCTGACAAAACAGATGTGTTTGTTCTCTCGGGCGTCCATAGTACTTTCAATATTCTTTAACAACATCATACTTCAACTCCATTGGCTCTTCTCTGCCTTCCTTATTCAATGCTCCATTTTTAAATGCACATAAACCAACTGAAATAGCATGGCTTGGATCAGGCATCCTTCATTCCTCCATGTGACAGCCTTGCTGTTCAACATTGCATTATGTCTTGTGCAGTGATTCTCCCAATCCAGCACCTAGTTTGATTTCTTGCCTGCAGCTTTAATAAACATTAATTGTGGATAAAAGATAAAATCCTGAGGGACAGGGCAGCACCCTCCCCTGCTCTACATTAAACCTCGGAACTGGAAAAAAAAATCCTTGAAAGATGCAAGATGAAATCCTTGACAATGTCTATGTTTTCTCAATTTGCCATTATGTTTTCTGCTGTGTCAGTTGTGAAGAGTTTGGTTTATTTTACATTGAGTTGCAATCTATAATGAAGGTTTGGGTCCTTGCTTTCAGTATGTAAACTGATATCATTTGCACATTGTGCACATTGCAAGTGGTTAATAAGCTTTCCTCCAATTCCAATGCCGCATTCTTTTTTCATATAGTCCAACTTCTTGAATTATGTGCACAGCACACAGATTGAACAAGTATGATGAGAAGTCACAACCTGATACACACCCTTCTAGATTTTAAACAACACAGCATTCTTTTGGTCTGTTTGATTTTTGTGTATGTACATCTTCTGGATGAGCACAATGAATTATTCTGGAATTTCCATTCCTTTAAAGGCTATCTGCAGATTGATATAATCCACACAGTCAATTGCCTTTTCAAGGTCAGGAAAACACAAGTAAACATCTTTTTCTTGTTCTTTACTTTGAGCCAAGAATCATTTGATGTTAGTAATGATATCTTGCATGTCATATCCTTTTTGAATCCGGCTTGACATTCTGGCAGCTTCCTCATGATATGCTGTTAAGTGATCTTCAGCAAAAGTATACTTCCATGTAACATCAATATTATTAAATAACTCATAGTAAAACTGAATCCTGTGTAATACATTTGACAAGGACCATGTGTATAGTCGCTGAGATAATTCAACACATGATTTTTTTAAGCTTCCATTATTTCCTTTCATTTATGTTGCCGGAAAAATGTATTTGCTATAAAGCAGTCTATCTTTCAAAATGTCATGAGATGGCCAACTTTACTTCTATCACAAAGACCATATTTTTCTATTACTGTTCCTACTTTTTTGTTTCCAACATTTTCATTCCACATATCAGCAATTATCAATGCATCTTGATAGCATGTTTGATCAATTTCAGACTGAAGAAATAGATACAATTCTTCAATTTCTTAAAATTGGTAGAATTATTCAATTTCTTCACCACTAGATGTAGTGGTTAATCCATACGTTTGAATACAAGTTACATTTCCTTATAAGATTACAAACATCATCCAATTGTAGACAGCATTATACTTAGAAATGGATCTTAATGTATTCTTTGTGATGAGGGACGTGATGCCATTCCTCTGGAATATTTTATTCCTAGCCTGGTCAACCAAATGATTGTCTTATGAAAAATGGCCAGTGCTCACAAATGCCCCGAAGTCTTCCTTTGTGCATTCCATTTCGTTGTTTATTATTTAAATTTCCCTAGATTTATACTTTGTACATTCTACATTCTAATAATTAACAGATGTTTTCAACTGTTCTCATGTTGAGTCATGTCCCATTAGCAAAAGCAGGTCCCCAAAGTTTGCTTCATCCTGATCATTATAGGAGATTCTTCTCCTTAAGGGAAGTTTTACTCAGACATATTTTGAGTGTCTATGGTCCTGAAGGACTCATCTTCTGACACTAGATGTGACAATGCTCCTCTGCTATTCATAAACATTTCAATGTCTAATCCCTCAGAGGTGGACAGTTTATTCCTTCTTTACAGTCTATTCGTATCCTGGAAGTCCTGCAGAAATGTGTTCACCTTGGGCGACACTGCTAGGATTTGAAATAAGGAGGACAGAGTTACCAGCATCACAATAACACACAGACCCCTCCACTAAGACAAACTGACAGACAAGTCATAGAAATGCATATCTGTCACCACGAATCAATATTATGGTTTTGGATCAGTCATTTTGACTCATAATACTGAGTATGCCATTGTTTATACAAAGGATCTCTTTATTGTTATGTGTTTTTCTGTTTTTTGGTATTTGATACAGAAGATTGATGAACCAATTGAAACCACAACTAGAATAAGGGCTCCTGAGAGGTACAGGAGGGGAGGAGGTAGGGATGAGTATCTAATGGGAAGCTGATATCAAGGAGTTCAAGAAGAAAGAAAATGTACTGAAACTGATTATGATAGCAATTTTACAATATTCGTGTGATTGAACTCTGGCATGATATGATGTCTAGATTAGCTCCTAAAAAAGGGTTCAGAAATAAATGTATGAGTTAGTGAGACAGGGTGTTAGGGGAAAAAAAGATCTTATTATAAATGGAATATACTTAAATACTAACACATTGCATGCACCAGAAAGTATTACAACAGTTTGGATAAGCTATAAAACATGTCATGATAACCTGTTCAGTTAAATGTTTTTTTCTCCTTATGAGTCCTATTAATTTAAATACATTAATCTAAATCTCTCATTTTTTTGAGAATAAAAATGGATATAGAAATACCACGAGGTGCATCTCCATTGTAAAAATGTGTTGTTTTTAACTTATTCCAGGTGATAATCAAATCTGGGCCAGGGACTTTTCTCAGTCTGGCTGTTTATGACAATTATATCTTCTGGTCAGACTGGGGAAGAAGAGCTATTCTGCGTTCCAACAAGTACACAGGAGGGGACACTAAAATTCTCCGTTCTGACATTCCACATCAACCTATGGGAATCATAGCTGTTGCCAATGACACCAACAGCTGTAAGTTGCGGTAGAAAGCACACTTCTTTTCTAATGATATTACGTCTTTAAGTATGTGTGTATGTATGTATGTATATATATGTATGTATGTATATATATATGCATATATATATACATGCATATTGATGATGATGCTTATTTGGATTTTACTTTCTTGTATTTCCTTGGAGATAATACACAGATTACTATTTAACCTGTTGAAATAATTGAAAAAAATATGAAGGCAACTTTCATATTGTTTAACTTATCACCAGAGGAAGAATTTATTTTTAATTAAGTTTTTATTATTTTTTCCTCAGAATTGTATTTATCTCACCCTATCCCTCACATCTCTGAATATGGAAATCATGCTGTGCTGCTTTCATGAAGATAATAATCTTTGATAAACAATCTTTTCATATCAGCTTAAAAAGTCTTTAATTACCAGAATGCCTACAAAATGTTCAATTTACAGTATGGTGATGGTTTCTAGTGGCACTAGTTTATTTGATGCCACTAATCAAGAACATAGTGATTTCTATTGCAAACTTTTCTAATGTGCTTATCAACTTTTCAAAATTTCGAATCCTTCCTTGTTTCTGATGTCTTGTGAGATTGAGGCAGTCTAACAGTTGACTGTAGAACAGGCACTCATGATAAAGAAGTGTCTTTGTTTCAGGTGAACTTTCTCCATGTGCATTATTGAATGGAGGTTGCCATGACCTGTGTCTTTTGACTCCCGATGGGAGAGTAAACTGCTCATGCCGGGGCGACCGGATGCTGCTCGATGACAACAGATGTGTGAGTAAGTAAAGAGAACACAAAAGCCATGATGGCATATCTGTCCAAAATGGCATCTCCCGGCATTGGGATGTGTTTTGTATATTCATCCACTTGAATTCTCATTCAATATTTGAGATTCCATTGTTGTGACTCCATTCTACTTATCATACCTCTTACTTATCATACCACCGTTACATGATAATAACCAAAAGGAGGGAAAACTGTGTCCTGATTGGGAGTTGGAAGATTAACGGGCCAGCTAAAGGAGTGTCTGCACAAAATGAGGAGCTGAAAACTTCTAGAAATGAAAATTTGGTCATTAGCAAAATTAATTAAAAGCCAAAATAAGACAGTATATGGGCAGTGGTTCAGCAGCCATGCAATAGAAGCACTTGCGGTCTGTTGCTGTATGTAAATGAGAGAGAATGGCTCATGCAGCTTATTTGTAATCAGTTCCAAACTGTTAATTAAGAATGTAACATTGCTGCCTGCATGTTGTTTATATCTCCCAAAGGCATTGCACTCTTTAATTAGTGTGATTATAATATACACTTATTAAAATTTAAGTTTCCCAAATTATTTCCGAAATAAATAAGGGTTCAAGTATTCCAATATTGCCACAAAAGATTAGCAAGCGACATAAAAAATGTTAATTTCCTTTCACATTAAAATTATTCACATAAAAAGGTCAGAGAGTAGCAAAACATTGGAAATTCCTGAACTTAACTCTTAGACTATTTAAACTTTTAAGGGTTTTTTTCTTCTCTTCATCTATACCATCATTTCCTATCATGTCAGCTCAGAAAATAAAATTAACTGAGAATGTGTCCATCACAAAAACAAGTAGCAGAGACTATGAAGTATTTTTCATCTTTTTCTTGAATTCGAGTGGCAGTTCTCGTCTGCCCTACAGCATTGCTATGAGCAGGAACCCACCTAATGGCAGGAAGTCTGGTTTATGATTTGATTTTCATCCACCAGGAGAATCCTCTCTTTTACCTATTCTTTACTTTGGTGCAAGAACTTGGACATTATTTTCTTTACTCTGAAAACTAGTACACCTAACAGCAGCAGAGACATATATTCTCAATTTGCATATTGATACCCACCCACAATTCCACAATCAATGCTCATGGAAATCAAAGGAAAAATGACACATTGCATTAGGTAAATCTGCTGCACAAGATCTTTTTATCATGTTGAAAAGCAAGGATGTTACACCTGACCCAAGCCAGGGTATTTTCCATCAGCTCAAATGTGTACTAAAGTTGGACATTTAATAAAATCAGGAAGACTGTTGAGAAATCAATACACTTGAGCTCTGGTGCTGGATAAAAATATTGAACGTGCATGGATTCCCAAAAGTACAAACAAATCGTTCTTGGAAGACCAGCCAGCATGCTCCTTAGAGGCAAGGATCCCAAGGCTTGGTCTCACATATATTGGACATGTTATCAGAAGAGACCAGTCCCTAGAAAAGGCCATGATGCTTAACAACGTGAACAAGAGGCAGCCCCTCAATGAAACGGATTGCCAACGGACTGCAACAATGGACTCAGACATAAGAACAATTGTGAGGCAGGTGCAGGACTGGGCAGTGTGTCAATCTGTTGTATATCGGGTCGCTTTGAGTTGGAACTGAGAGGACAGGACCTAGTAATAAATAAATAGATAACAACAACGACCCCCACCCAAATAAGTACCTATTAGCCAGAGTTGTTTAAATAAAACTGTCAATAACATTATAAGTACAATTGAGACTTAGCAAAACCAAATGAAATTATGTAACTGGTCAGTGAATTTTAAATGCAGACAGCCAATTTTAATAATCTAATCTCAGAATCCCTTATTTCTCTTTTACCTAACACAACCCTGATTTGCTTTGGCAATTCCTTAAACTCTTTCAGTTGCTTTTATGGTTTCAGCTGTAATGGTCTGAATCGAACACCATCTGCAAGCCAGGAGTATTAGCCAAGCATTTGAATCACTTATATTTCATTCAGAGGTCACTACATTGCTGCTATACAGTGATGGCTTTTGCCAAGCAACAAGGCTTATATGTAAACAGGGGAGGCCTCTCTTTGCGGAAAAATAGATGAGATACCATTCTCCCTACTAAGTCTCTTGTTTCTCTTTATTGACACAAAGGAATGGATGAGACTGGAAATTGTTATGTTCACATAGAACTGCAATGTGATTCCTCACACAAAAGCTAGACAAGTCCAGATGAATACTGGACACACACACACTCACACACACACACATCTTAGTGACACATCTTGGAGAACCTCCCTCTATGCATTTGTATTGAAGTTATTATAAGATTATAAGATTAAAGCAAATTTTAGAGACACATTAGTGGAATAATTTCATTCAGTTTGTGAGCTAACATGGTTGTGTCTAGTAATATTAACACACCTCTTAATGTTTGTCTATGTAAACTGAATAATATTTGAGGTTCTTAATTTTTTAGTGGGCTGCTAACTGCAAGGTCAGCAGCTCAAAACCACCATTCGCTCTGAAAGATGAAGCTTTCTACTCCAATAGAGAACTGGAGTCTCAGAAATGCAAAGGGTAGTGAGTTTGAATTTCATTTTGTTTTTAAAATTCTTAGTTAACATCTTTAAAATGGCAACGCATCTTTATTATGGATTATTGCATGTCAGTTACTTCCAATAAAGGAAAAAGAAAAAAAGACCTTTGAGGAAGTGTTGCTAATATTGAAGCAGCTGATTTTTCTATATATTATTCCAGGTGAGAGTTTTGAAAGTTAACACCAACCTTCTTACCAAATCCTTCGGTGTGAGAGGAGGTGACACAGGTGTAGGTAAAGCCCGATCTGAACAAGCTCTCTTAGAAATGTTTGGGAATGTTAAAAGCAGCATTCCAAGAGTGAGAAGTGTTGAAGAGCAACCACATCAGGGCAAAGGAAAGAAAATGATTGTCATAACCTTTACAGTAGAATCAGACAATCTGATCTAAATTAACATTACTAACTTTGTCAACATTTGTAATTTGAGTAGCAATAGCAAATATAATTAGGTGCACTAAGGAGAAGGAGTGGTTAATTGAACAAAATATTTGTTTGGAGGAAAACAGAAAGCAGAAATAATGCTATTTCATCAAATGAGCATATGTTCACAAGAAATGTGTTCATACAATGTCGATTTTTTTTCATGGCATGAAATAAAACAAAAGAATATTTACCTGCAAATGCTACTTGTGTTTGTTCTCCCAAAGGCATTATGAATATGAATCAGTAAACACGATATTCTCCATTATGAGTATTTTACGTTGAAAATGAAGACAAAGCAGGGCGTGTGCAGACGAGATTAGGTTGGGAATGTGAACAGGCTCTTCAGTAGTGAGTGCATTTTGTTATCTTCATGAGTTAGATTGATTGTGGTCACTAATATTCACATCTTTTGAACACTGGCTCCATTTAAAAAATTATTTTAAAAATATCAATTCTTTGATATTTTCTTTTCAAGGGACATCATGCCCTATCTATGAAGAAGAGAGGGAGCCCTGATGGCGTAGTTGTTGGGCTGCTAAGCACGAGGCCTGCGGTTCAAAACTGCCAGGCACTTCAAGGGAGAGAGGCACAGCTTTCTACTCCCTAAAGAAGAGAGTTATAATCTGGGAAGCCCACACGCCCAGTTCTATTCTGCCAAACAGGTTCATTCTGAGTTGTAACCAACTCAACGGCAGTGTAGGTTTTTTTGATTTTAGATAAATCAGTGATATTTTGACTGAAGCTAGGGGGCAGGGGTAGAATTTGAAAAATATAATTAAACTATCTTTGAAATTGTTGCTATCGTTGAAATAGTTAAATTAGATTTGTTGTGTAAATTGGCAGAGAAATAAACATTTTGTTAAAAGTGAGTTAAGTACTAGGATAATAAAGACACAAAATGCTGGGAACCTCAAAGAGTACTAGCGTCTCTCTACTTGAATATTCCCAAAGAAAAATGATAACAAATTTTAAAATCAAACTACTTGCCTTGTAGTAGTAGAATTCATTTCATTGTAATTACCTCCAATATAATTAGCATAACTGGGTTTCACTGTACAATTATTTAAAAAAATGAAGTAAGTGCATGCAAGCAGACAGCATGTAATACACCCAAAATGTTAAACTCCAAATATTTGCTAGTAAATTTATTGCTTATGAATCAAAGTTAATGTTTTCCCCAGATGAGCTCACCCCTGTAAAGCAGTTGAAATGAGCTGTACAACATCTTTGTGTTGGTTTTCCTTGTTGTTGTTGGACTGTGCTTACAGATGGGAAAACAGAGAGAGAGAGAGAGAGACGGAGAGAGAGACAGAAAGAGAGGAAGAAGAAGAAAGGAACAACTTCAAAATTCTAGTTTCTTATGACAATGAAAAACGGTAGAGTTTTTGTACTAGAAAACCTTTAATACATTGAAGAATGTATGTATGTATATATAACACCCTCAGTATCTGTGAGTCAATTTAGCTCATTTTCAAAACTTAATATTACGATAGATACCTAAGCAGGATGAATATATAGAACATCCACATTCAACCTTTTCTGGCCTATCCACCACTGTCGTTTTGTGGTAATATGGTAGCTTCTGTGTTGTCATGCTAGAAGCTATGTCTTTGTTATTTCACATTTCTGTAGGGTTACTTAGGTGAACACGTCTCAGCAGAGCTTCCAGCCACTAGAGTGTTCCCACTCCTGAGGGATTAGCCACAGAAAGTCTTATACATATTAGAATAGTTTCAGATATAGTTCTGGAAATCAGCCCCTCAAATTGGAAACCTCTCACGAGATGATGGAGGAAGAGCTTCCCTCTCAAGTAGAGTTGCCCAGAATGACCTGAATTGAGTACAACTTTCTGAACCTTCATTTGCTGATGGGGCACAATTCAAACGAGAAAGAAAATCTGCAGACATCTAATGATAATTGAAACATGGAAAGTACAAAGTATGGATCTAGGAAAACTGGAAGTCATCAAAACTGGAAGGAAACATAACAGTCCACATGATAATAATTAGTGAACATTGCTTACTTTGAATCCCCATGTTACATGGCTTACTATGATGGCAATAACACGTTCAAGAGGAGTGGCATCATATTCAGAGTCAGAAGGGACATTTCAGGATCTGTCTAGAAATACAATTCTGTCCATGATAACATAATATCTATACGCCTACAAGAAAGTCCAATTAATACAACTATTATTCAAATTTATGGATCAACCACTAAAGCTAATGATTAAGAAATTGATAAATTTTACCAAATTCTTTCATTTGAAATTGATCAAATGCATAATCAATGTGTATTGAAAACTATTGGCAATTGAAATGCTAAAGTTAGGAACAAAGAGGGAGGAAAAATAGTTGGAATATATGGTTGTGGTGATAGAAACAAAGCTAGAGATTACATGATAGAATTTTGCAAGACCAATGGCTTCTTCATTGCAAATAGTTTTTCAACAACATAAATGACAAATCTTTACAACATCACCAGGCAGAATACATAAGAATTAAATTGACTACATCTGCACAAATAGATAGTAGAGAAGTTGGATGTCAGCAGCCAAAATGAGACATGGGATTGAATGTGGAACAGACGCACACATCAGTTGCTCGAATGTAATGAAAGTTATGTGCAAGAAAATAACAACATTAGAAACAAAGAGAGTCAAAATATGGCCTTGAGTTGATCCCACCTGAATTTTGAGAACATCTCAAGAAGAGATCTGACATACTGCACACTAATGCCACCGGATCTCATGAGCTGTGGGATGACATCAAGGACATCATAGAGAAAGCAAAAGGTCATTAAAAGAACAGAAAAAGGAAAAAGGCTCAGAGTGACTGTCAGAAGAAACTTCGCAACTTGTTCTGGAACTTAGAGTAGCAAAAGCAAACAGAAAGTTTCCAAGAGCAGCTAGAGAAGACAGGGTATTATCGTGATATGTGCAGAGAGGTGAAGTTAGAAAGCCATAAAGGGAGAATACACTGAGCATAACTCAAGCTGAAAGAACTGAAGAAACCAGTCTAAACCTCGAGTTGCAAAATAAAAAGATTTTATGGTCAAAAAGTGAATGATGCAGAGAGCATCAAAAGACAATGGACTTACACAGGTCTAACAATATTTAAGAGGTAAAGCTAAGACCATGATAATAAAGGGAGGAAATTTCAAAGAACTAAAGGTTTGTTGTGTGTTTCATCAGTGCTATACCACACCCTAGACATATCAACCCTTCTCTGTGGCCCTTCTGTGAGGAACTGTCCAGTTAACTTAAAGGTGGATTTGGGGTCTCCACTTTGTCCATGCTCCTTCACGTCAATTTGATTGCTTGGTTTTGTACTTCTGATACCTACTCCTATCCATACCGCATGATCACACAGGCTAGAGCGTTTCTTCCACGTGGGATTTTTTTGCTTCTCTGTGCGATGGCTGCTTGGTTAACTTCAAGCTTCTAAGACTCCAGATGCTATATCTTAATAGCCGGGCACTATCAGCTTTCTTTACCACATTTGCTTGCGCACCCATTTTGTCTTCAGCGATTGTATCGGGAGGGTGAGTATCATACATCCCCATATTATTAGAACAAGACATTCTTGTACTGAGGTAGGATTTAAGTAGAGGCCCAATGTACACCTGCTACCCTAATACTTTACATATAAATATATATACATAGATCTATTTCCCTATTGTTATATATTTACATATATTGTTATATATATTTACATATGTAAATATGTACATGCCTGTATTTAGACCTCTATAAATGCCCATTTGCCTCCTAGTTCTTTCCTCTATTTCCTTTTTACTTTCCTCTTGTCCCACTCTCATGTTTGGTCTTCAGGTTTCAGTAATTCCTCTCAGTAACATTGACCTTGATCAAAGCCCTACGAGGCATATACAGTAGAACCCTGGTACTCTATGGCACCAGTCCTCGACATGATCAGATATAAATGCAAAATGTTGAGAAAAGTTTGCATCAGAGTTCGAACAAAACATTGGAATCTGACCTGTCGCATGTGATTTTTGTCAACAAAAGCAGTTCATGTTTTGGTTACTTGGTGTTAGTTGGCGTTGTTAGTACGCATTGTTTAAACCTTTTGTGACTGTGTTCCAAGCGTTTTGCTATAATTTTCTTAGCTTTTTGTACTGTTTTAGATAAAAAAACATGGGTCCTAAGAAAGTTTTTTTGAAAGAATCATCATGATAAGGAATATTGATAACAATATTGTTGATGATAATTTAGTAAACCCTTTTAGAAAACAGTTAAGGAAAGGCCAACAGCAGACCACATTAGACAGAAATTTTTTTAGAGAAAGCCAGCCAGGTCCTAGTGAAACAAGGCGAAGAAGGGGAAATGAACTCCCGAAAAGCAGCTACAAGTTGATTTTATAAATTGGGATTCCCCTTCCAAACAATGACTCTCTTTCCATACCTCCTCTCCACATCCATGTCCACTGATCCAGATCCTCCTCTATCTCAAGGTATGGACCATGCTGTAGTTGTTAAAAACTTTTTAAATGTTGTGTTTCTTATTTAAATTTTATTAGTTAACTCTGAACTTATTTACTTTGAAATTTCTATGTAATGTTTTGTATAAAAAGGCAAGGTTAGGATAAAAACTTGGTTGTCGAGAATGGATTAATTTATTTTCAGTTATTTCTAATGGGAGAAATAGATTTAGAACTCAACTGCATCACATCTCGACACTCCTTCTGGAATGGATTAGCATCGAGGTCCGGGGTTCTACTGTATTTGATTCAACCATTTCAAAAGGTAGCATATATTCAAACGCAAATGGTAAGAAAGGAAGAAGATTAAGCTACACTGAAGACATTAGCAAAAATCAATGTTCCTGGACTTGACAGAAAAACCAGCTGAAATATTTCAACCAGCTGATGAAGCACTGGAAGCACACTTTTCTATGCAACAACATTTGGACAACAGCTACTTAACCAACTAACTAAAAAGATCCATATTTGTGCTAACTGCAAAGAAAGGCAACTCAACAGAGTGTGGAAATTATCTAACAATATCATTAATATTGCATGGAAGTAAAAATTTGCTGAAGATAATTAAAAAAAAAAAACACAATTGAATCAGCTCAAAAACATAAAACTGCTAGAACCTGAAGCCAAATTCAGCCCAAGCATGGAACAAGTAATATTATAGCAGATGTCAGATGAATTTTGGCTGAAAGCCCAGAATCCAGAAAGATGTTTACTTGTGTTTATTGACAATGCAGAGGTGTTTGACTATGTGGATCATAACAAACTATGAATAACATTGAGATGAAAGGGAATACCAGAACCCTTCATTGTGCTCTTGTGGACCCTGTACATGAACTAAGAGGCACTTCTTAAGAACCAAGCAGAGGAACACTGAGTTGTTCAAAATAAGGTAAGGTGTGCGATAGCATTGTTTCTTTTGACCATATTTATGTAATCTGTATGTTGTGCAAATAGAACTCAATGTCAGGATGGAGAAAGAATCCCTAACAGCATACAATATGAAGGCCTTTGCTGATGAACATCAAAGACTATATGTATCCTTCAGGATGGATTACAACTCTATGTAAAATATATATAAATTATCCTCACACCTGGATCACTAGATAACAAACATCATGATAAATGGAGAGAATATTGTAGTTGTCAAGGATGTCATCTCGCTTGGATTCATAACTAATGCTCATGGAAACAGCAGTCAAGAAAACAAAGAATATGCTGCATTGATCAAACGTAGAGCACAAAACCTTTTTGAACAATTGAAGAGCAGAATGTCACTTTGGGGAATTAAGGTGCACCCGACCTGTGTAAGTCATGGTATTTTCAATTACCTCATATGCCTGTGAAAGTTGGGTAATAACGGGGAAGACAAAAGAAGACTTGATGCATTTGAATTATTATGGTGGTGAAGAATCTTGGAAGTTCCATGGACTGCCAAAGGAACACTGATAGTGGGTAATACATAACCCCAAGGTCAGATCGCATAAAGATTTAAGCTGAGAAATTCAAAGGGGGCATTTCTACTCTGCCCTATAGGGTGGCCATGATTCAGTATTAACTCTATAGGAGTGGGTTTGGTTTGGGTTAATTGCCATAAAAACAAACAATTCTGGTTTGGAAGAAGTACAGCCAAAATGTTTTTAGAAGGAAGGCTGGTATGACAATCTCATGTACATCGAACATGTTATCGAGAGAGACCAACTCTTGGAAAAGGTCATCTTGCTTGGCGAAGTAGAAGGGAAGCAAAAATGAGTAAGACCCTCAAGATGGTGGATCGATGCATGGCTGTGCCAGTATAATCATGGGCTCAAACTTAACAATTGCGAGGATGCCACAGGATGGGGCAGTGTTTTTGTTGTGTTGCACGCTGGACTCAATGACACTCAAAAACAATCCTTACTGCCACCAATTGATTAGCAAATATATACATAGGCACAAAGAAAATAAAGTCGTCAAACAATTCCTTAAAAAAAAAATTACTGAGGAATGGTAATACCAACAAAAATAGAGTGCCCATTTTTTGTTTGTTTGGGTTTTAGTGTCAAAGTTAATTTTCCTTAATATAATTTTACATTTATAAATTTTGTTCATTTCATAATTAGGGGAAATACTTTCTATATTATGTATTTTAAAAGTTTCTTATGAAAAAACACATGTATTTTTTCTTTCCTTCAGCTAAAAATTCTCCCTGCAACATTTATTCAGAGTTTGAGTGTGGAAATGGTGAGTGCATTGACTATGAGCTCACCTGTGATGGACGTCCTCATTGTAAGGATAAATCTGATGAAAAACTGCTCTATTGTGGTACGTGTCCAGTATGTGATTTGCTTATTGCAAGAAGATACCCTTTTCCCCCCAATTAATCTCTTTTCATTTGTTTTTTGTAGACTATTTTATTTTCAGTGTCTCTTATTAATGTGGCAAATATTTTGGCTTTGCTCCTGTTAAAAAGAGATTCTTTGCTTCCAAACAAATATAGCAGGATATTTATTAAAGAATTTCCTGGTGGGTCTTCATTCAAATTACTAATTTAAAAATAGAATAATGCTGTCTTTTGAGAAGCTTAGCTATTCAGCATAAGAGTCAATTCCTAAAATAGAAAAACAGAATTGAGAAATATCAGTGACTTGTACACATTATAGCTGTTCTTTATAGCAGAAGTGTGCCATTGGCCAGTGGCATGGTTTTAGACTGATGACAAAGTCTATTCTAGTCTCATTCTGCTTTCAAAATTGTCACAGGGGCCAGCATCCTTTGGTAAAATGTCTGGTTACTTTAGTTATGATTCCCAATCATGCATCACACCAAAGAGAAAATTGTATGTAAATGAGGTTTTTGCACTTTATGATTCATAAGCTGTTATATTGCTGAACAAGTTTCAACAGAGCTTTCCATCTCAGACAGACTATAAAGAAATGTCTAGTGGAATATTCTTGGAAATCAGCCAGTGAAAACCACATCGATCAGATCATATCATTGTAAATGACGGGGAGTGCAGAGTGGAGACCCAAAGCCCATCTGTAGGCAACTGGACACCTCTTACTGAAGGATTGCGGAGAACAAATGAGCCAATGAGGGTGCAGTGTAGCAACAATGAAACATATAACTTTCTTCTAGTTCTTAAAGGCTTCCTCCCCCCGCCCCCCCACTATCATGATCCCAATTCTAACTTACAAATCTGGCTAGACCAGAGGATGTACTTTGGTACAAATACCAACTAGAAACACAGGGAATCCAGGACAGATGACCCCTTCAGGACCATTGGTGAGAGTGGTGATACCTGGAGGGTGGAAGGAAGGTGGGGTAGAAAGGGGGAACCAATTACAAGGATCTACATATAACCTTATCCCTGGGGGATGGACAACAGAAAAATGGGTGAAGGGAGATGTCGGGCAGTGTAAGATATTACAAAATTATAATAATTTATGAATTAGGAAGGGTTCATGAGGGAGGGAGTAGTGGGGAGGGAGGGGGAAAACGAGGAGCTGATATTAAGGGCTCAAATAGAAAGTAAATGTTTTGAGAATGACGATGGCAACAAAGGTACAAATGTGCTTGACACATGGATGGATGTATGGATTGTGATAAGAATTGTACGAGCCCCCAATAAAATGATTTTAGAAAGCATTACCCTCTGTAACTAATCATCGTGATAGGCAAAACTAGAAAGTACTTTGCTCAATTGTCTTTGGGGCACTGTGAGTTGGGAACCATGCCACGACAACTAACAACACATGATTCTGTAGTTGAGAAATATATATTTAGGTGCTTACATTGTTTTTTAGCTGAGAAATTCTTGCAATGGGCAAGAGAGCTAAGAGTCAGGTTGTCCTAATACTCTTAGAACATTTGAGGCAGACATTTAGTTCTTTGAAATTGAATGTATCATATATGTTAATTTCTGTGCCATTTGACATTAGTACCAGAAGCAAAATATGGGTATGACTTGAAGCAATCTGTTACGTCAAAAAGACTCATTATTGAAGGAACTACTCTTTAATAACTTATGTATATTTTAATCCAGGGTTTTGCTATTGCAAATGCTTGTTTTACAGATGCACAAACTATAAATGAACTTTCAGCTGCTCTTTTCTTTCATGTGAAAATAATTTTGTAAGACATTCAACTGTGTGTCCACTTTTATTTGTAAGAAAACAGAAGCTGTCGAAAAGGTTTCAAACCCTGCTACAACCGTCGATGCATTCTTCACAGCAAGTTATGCGACGGGGAAAACGACTGTGGAGACAATTCTGATGAGTCCGACTGCAAAGGTAACATCAACCTAGGAATTGTCTCCTATGAAGTGTCTTTCTAAATGTCTACCCATTTGTCGTCCTGAGCGTATTCTGATTCCGCACTTTTAGCATCTGCCGATCAGTTTGGTAAATGTTATATGAGGGACTTTATTAAAGTTAATTGAAAAGAATAGTTATGACTCTTTCTCTCATTTCAACATTCTTGGCATTTCTCACCTCTCTAGTTCTGCCTCCTTATGTCCCATATTATAATATCAGAATTAGAGTATTTACTGCTTCAGATATGTTCTTCTCATTCCCGACTTTTCTGTTTTATATAGGTAATCATCATTTATATATTATATATTTATATATGTAATCAGACTGGACAGAAGAACATGGTGTTCTCTGTGAGGTCTTGTTTACCATAACCTGCCATTCATGGATTCAATAATCAACAACACTTCCAATTCTTGAAAAAACTCTTTTTATCAAACAATTTTTAGCATAGTCTGTATACCCTTTCAAATGGTCCCCGCCTATAATACTTCCATTTCTGTTCTTTGTCATGTGTAAGCTGATTTTATCATTTTTTCACAGTATCTGGGACAGAGCCTGAAGACAGACTCCAGGGTTAGAAGCCAACTCTCACTCACGATGATTTTAAATAGGATACTTAATCCTTGTCCATCCTGGTTTCACACTCTAAGGAAGGGGATAGTGCATGAGAATCTTTCTATTAAATGAGCCTAAAGTAGTGAGAGTCCTTGGGTGGCAAAATGATTACGTGCTGCGTTATTTAGTGAAAGACTCCCTAGTTCAAAACCACCAGAGGGACCTCACAGGACAGGCCTGGTGATCTACTTCTGGAGGAGTGCAGCCCTGAAAGCACCTCTGTAGCCTTTCCACTCTTTCATCATGAGTTGGAATCAACTCCAACAGCAACTACCAACACCACGTGGCTCTGGCACCAAAAGTGCTGTGTCAGCATCTCTCTGCTCAGAACAACTAATGCAGTCCCGTGTGTGGAATACACATGCTTTTTTTTTCCCTTTTGATTCTGACATGTAAGGCACCCTAAAGTCTGGTCCAACAGACCTTTCCGAACTAAATTGTGTGCATCCACCATCTTCAGAGTTTTAAATATGTGTGTGTGTGTGTGTGTGTGTGTGTGTGTGTGTGTGTGTGTGAAGCGGTTAATCAGCTATTCTTGGAGCAGACATAAATCAGTGTAATTTATTTAGGACTGAGGCACATGTCGTCAAGATAGGGCAGTCCCTGAGACTGACGTCATCCTTGGAAAAGCAGGGAGGCAGAGAAAAAGAAGAGAGCCCTTGACCAAATGGATGGACACCATGGTGCCAACAATGGCCTCAAACATAAGAACACTGATGACAATGGAAAGAGGCGGGGCAGTGTTTCATGCTGTTGCGGGTACGGTCAATATGAGTCAGAAAGGACTCAAAGACTCCTAACAATGACGACGACGATGACGACAACAACAACAACAACAACAACAACAACATGACTTACCTCAAGGAGTTAGTCTAATTTTATGTTTGACTAATTTTGTGTGCTAGGCTGTGGTACTAAGAAATTTGGTCAAATATAAATGTTGCTCAGAAGACATATACATGTGAATTAAATACTAAGACTGCAATATCTTTGTGGGAACAAAATTCGATCCGTAGCAGAAACCTGGGTCATGGCTCATTTAAATCTGTTGGCGTTGGTTAAGCAGATAACTCTCATTTATGACTTGGCTTTGTGGCACGGTAGTCAATCTCCCATCTGCTAATCAATATGTTAGTGATTCAAACTCAGCAGCCCCTCAATGAAAGAAAAATATGGCTGTCTATCTCTGCAAAGATATATGCCTTTGAAACAGAACTGGGGTTCAATAATGTCTTATAAGATCACTGCAAGACGGAATGACAAACCTTAAAAGCAGGTTTCTGTGGAATGAGAATTCTGTGTGAAGACTGAACGTAGATAAGATTGCCTGTCCTCTTAATTATGGATTGTGGACACAAGAATGGAAGAGTCTCTAAACTCAACTCAAAACCACTTTCATATTTTAAGGGATTTGTTAGAGCAGATCCCTACTTCCAAGTGCCAAAACCTGTTCACATTTCCTAGAGGTGCCATAATTAAATATCTCAAAGTGAGTCACTTTAGAGAATACAATTCCTGTTCCAAGTAGAAAAAGGGAAGAGAAATGAGAGGTCATAGGTATGAAACATATATAAAGCACAGTAAATGTTATTATAAGTCTAGTTTTAAAAATAATTCTCTCTCCTCCAAGCCCACCCAGATGATAGTCCCTTGGTCCTTGGGCACTGGCTTCTCCTCTTAACATTGGCAGTGACCCTGCTCTCTCTAACTGAGACTGTGTGTTAGCCTGGGTAATCTAGAGAAACACATCCAGGGAGACTCATCTGTTTATAGGAAAGAGCATCATATACAAGAGCAATTGAATATTGAGAAAACATCCCAGCCCAGTCCAGATCAAGTCCATAAGTCCAATATTAGCCCATATGTCTGATACCAATATATAAAATCCTCTTCAGACTCATGTAACACATGACCTCATGTAACACATGCTGAATACAGAAAGATCACAGGCCAGTGGGTGGGAAGTCTTGTGGATCCAATGGCAGTATAAGCATCTCAGCGCTGACAGGGGTCTCCACATGGCTTCTCCAGCTCAGGGCACTAGGGTAGTTCCATGTGTCTTGTCAGCTGCAATGTCACCCAGGGAGAGAGGAGAGTGAGAGAGAGACCGAGTCTCCTGCCTCCAGGGAGGAACAGGAGTTCCCAGAATCCTCAGGAGAAGGCCAGGCCCACACAGAGGCCTCGTTGGCTATTATCTGATTGACAGGCTAGACTCCACCCTTTCACTCTGAATCCTTAAATCGACACCAGATTATGCAACTACCACAGACTTTGTTCCAGTTCTCTGTGATGAATGCATTGTATACCCCAAAAAAGGCATATTTAAGTTCTAGTCCCTACTCCTATAAATATAAACTGTGGGGGGTATAAGATTCATTTTGTGGCATGTTAACAGTGAGGTAATATCAGATTATAGGACGAGTGTCCTAAACCTTATTCTATGTAGCGTCTTATACAAGAGAAAACAGATATCTTACGTTGGAGTTTGATTTTTCTCTCAGCTAACGTTTATTCACACAGTGTCCTTTGTGGGCACCATTCAAGCCATGGAAACATTTTCATGTCAGATTAGCTGATACAGCAGTGATACAGATGATGGGCAGCCAAACACCTCCTTTAAAGCACATCAAAGATGATTAAGGTATAGTCATAGGTACGGTTCAGGAAGAGTGGAGAAGATTCCCTCTACAGGTTTTTCTGTCTAATGACTGGTTCTGTTTCTGTAGTCATTGCAACATAGGGCGAAGAGCTTTGTTACAAGGCTTTCATACAATGCATGAACCACCCAACACTTTTATATCTAAAGGGAGAAAATATTTTTTAAAAGTAAAGAAGTATGAAAACTCAATATATGCACTGACATTCTGATAGGCTGTGTAAGAACCTATGAAGGCATTTATAAATATTTACAATTTTATTATATATTTAATTTTTAACATTTAGTTAAAAGTTAATAGTAATTCTTCTTACTATAGTATTTTTTCACCATTGCTAATACTAGTAGTTTTAACATTTACAAACCTTGAGTTAATTTACAGCATGGAAATCACTTTTACAAGAAAAAAACTGACTTCTTTTCTCCTAGAGGAATAAAAAATTCCAACACTCTTGAATCCTTTATGTATGCCCCCTTGTAGCTATTTCTTTAATGGCTGAAGCTAGGCATAAGGTTATCTGGGGCCATGGAGACTGACATAACATAGAGTTGTTTTTAAAGTTTGCCATCCAATATGCCTCTTCTAGTGATGTGAGCGCATGAGTCAGTACATGCAGGGAGAATGGCTGGTATCCCCGGTGCCCTGTTGAGATGAGTAAATTGCTTCTCTTGGGAAGTACATGAACTTTGGGGGACTGTTTCAATATCTTCAGGTGGACCGAGAGTTAAGTACTTCTAAGCTGATCTAAAGGAGAGAAAACCAGCACTTTTTATTTTCCTAAGTTTATAGCAGAACTTTGAGGAGTCCACAATCAAGTTTAAAGGATCACCATGCTTAAAGAAGCAATCATCATTCCTCCTGAGTTTCCTTAGAAGCTGTGTCATGAATTACATAAAAGGTCTGACTTGAAAGTAAACAGACAGAGATATGACAGCAGATTTAATACTTACTTTTTCTCATCAGCTTCTCATGTTATAGGCTGGGAAAGAGGAGTGGAAAGAGAAAATTGACAGACTATTTGTAAGAAACATTCAAATGGCCATAGAAAGCCAAATGGTATTTGTTCCATCTCATTAAATAGCTAAACTGACTTAACTGAGGAACAGAAATGTTAGATAAAGAACGTATATAAGGGACATGTATTAGTCTGAGTACTTTAGAGAAACAAATCCACAGAAATGCAGTATAAGAGAGAGTTTTATATAAAGGTTAAATACACGTGAAGAAAACATCCCAACCCAGTACTGCCCAGGCCTACAAGTCCAAGATTAACCCATTAACCCATATGTACAACACCAATCCATAAAGTCCTCCTCCATCTCACAAAACACACGCCATGATGCCGGCTGCAGGAGGAAAGCCGTGTCAGTGAGTGTGTAAACATCTCAACACTGGCAGGGGTCTCCACACAGCTGCTCCAGCACCCAGGACTGCATTGGGGTAGGTCCATGTGGCTTCTCCTCAGGGATGTCTTGCAGGAAGTGAGCCTTGCAAGCTGAAGCAGGGAACTGGCTAAGGCAGCTGCACCCTGGTCCGACCATCAGAAAGCAAGAGACCCGAGAACTAGAAAGGTGAGGCCCACTGAGCCATTTATCCTTCTGCCCTTCAATTAATCCCACCATGTGTTTATCGGCCAGGTTGGGACAATAAACTAACTACCTCAGGAAAAAATGGATTTACTTTTTCTCTGGCTACACCTTTTGGTCCAAAGTCCCTCTGAGATCTTTATTCCTTGCAGTCGCTCTTTGCTTGTCCTGCCATGGCTGTGATTTGTTTTCATGCACGTGTCTGTAGGCTTACTTTTTCTTCTGGACTATCTGGTAGGAAAAGTCTAGTACTTCTCACTTGGCATATCTTTTTTAGACTATTTCTTTTCTCCCTCTTTGGGACTTGTAGCCTGAGGGAGACTGGTGGAAAACTTTCATATTCACTTGACAAATTAGAGAGTCCAACGTATTCTCCCTCAAAAATACCACCTTCAGGCTAAACCAAATTTTAAGCATTGACAGACTAAAACATACTGGGGAAGGGATATAGTGGAGAGAACAAGGAAAAAGAAATGTTGGCAGAATAATTCCTGTTATTTCCTTAGATTTTTCTCATAATCTCCTACATTACCTGCAAGTGCAGGAGATATTAATTTCCACAACCAACATGTACCTGTAGTTGAGAACATTTTATACCTACCTGATACACCTAATTCCATATTCTACTTGCTCTTCATGTCTACTCTTTTAGTAATCCATAATCCATTCCTTATAACTATTGCCACCTGTTTCTACTCTTATTGCAAATTCTATTACATCAAAGTCCCTCAATCTACAGGGTTTTGTTTTGATTTATTTTGTTTTGATTGTCATAAATGTCACACTGTCCCTGTTTAGGAAATCAGAATTTACCTCCCAACCTTCTTCAGCATCAGATGGACTCCTCATTATGAGTCCACCCCTCACTGATGGCTTCCTGTCCAAGTACACAGAAGATTCTTGGGGCAAGTTTGGAGAGAAATTGAAATGGTGAAATTGTTTCCACTTATCCTTATTGGGATTTTTCTGCCACACTAAAGTACAATAACTTCAAGTATACTATAAGAATTTCAAGCACATTGTAAGATAAACCCTTGTAAGATTGAATAGAAATATAGCTCCACTGAAAATGTTATTTCACAGAGAAATGGATGCTGTGGCTTATACAAAGTATTATAAGAAATCAATTGGGATGCAAGCTGGTAAAAACGTGCAGATAGATGGTAAAAGAAAAAAATGAAATTTAAATTAGTGTCTTGATTGTCTTATACTTTTTCTATTAATAATTAAATATCATACTGTGAAATAGAGAAGGGATTTTACTTTTAAAAAATAAGAGGAATATATTATGTCTTATGGTTAGAACAATATATTTATCTCTATTCAAACTAACATTATCTGTTTCACATATTAAGATGTGTTTTTCCAAATGAAGAAAACAGAGAAGCAATTATAATTGCAAATTGTAAATAAAACATTTATTTTAATCATCATTTAAACACAAATAAGAGTGTAATTTTAAGATACAATTAGGTATAATAAGAGCACTACATTATGAAACACAAATGACATATACACCCTTGAGTAGAATTTGCATATTTTAAGATAGCATTTTATCCATTTACAATTGACATAATATCCATTTATAATTAAATTGGTTCTTTAACATATCAACATGAGAAGTGCAGTAATCAATGAGTCCTTCATGTTGTATATTAACATAATCAACCTATATAAATTTGATTTTGCAATAAAAATCTCACCAAAATTAATCTAACATACATAGCATGCCACACACCTGTTCAACATATTGCTAAAAAAGATTGTACAATAATGGATGTGTAAGAAGCCTAGAAAGTAATGCATAATTAATAATAAGCTATTCTGTATAAAGTGCATATCATGACAGTAGCATATCAAAGCTGATTTCTAGCTAAGCAAAACTGAGAAATGGAAAGTCAAACTTTCATAAGGATAGACTCAAATACCACATTCATAATTGCCTTGGCATACAACATTCATATTTTTTATACCAAATGTTAGTGATATTGCCTTTTAAGTTGTGCAAGTATAGATGATTTCTATCTGATTGTTCAGTTGTTCATCCTTAGAGCAAAATACCAATGCTCAGTTATTATCTATCCACATATGTATCTTTATATCATCAATCTAAATATCTACTAGATATGAAACCTTGATCATACAGTGGCTCAAGTGGTAAACAGTGGTAAACAGTGGGAGAGAAAGATTTCACAGTCTGTCTTTTTAAATATGAAATCCTTGGAAACCAGGCGGGAGGGAGGGGGGGATGGGGAGGGGGGAAGCTCCGTACTCTCTTATAGGGGCTCTGTCTGAATTTACTCAACAACAAATTCATAAAATAAAATGATTTTTTATGTATTATGCATTCATCCATCCACCCATTCTACCTATTGTAGCATATAATATCCCACGTTCTTTTGCTAGCCTGATAGAGATTTTCCAGAAGGAAAATCAGACATTTGCTTAGTGTTAGTGTGGTCAGCAACATTGTTTTAAAGGCCAGCTCAGTTGGCTTGGTGTTGTACTATAAGTACTATGGTAAAGAAGGAAAGAACTGGATGCTCTCATGTACGTTACAGTTGATAAAAGGAGCTAATCTCAACAGACTATTTGCAAAAAATTGTAGTAAATACCCTGACAGAGGGAAGGATTTTGTAACAAAGGAAAATTTAGAAGAGACACCTAACCCATCTCGGGGACAAAGTCTAAGGTCGTTTGATTTCTCAGAGTTGCTAAACAAAAGTACACATTATAACATCAATGGATTAGAGCACTCCAAACTTAAAAATAGGGAGACGTGTCATCGCCCATCTGTCCGCGTATCTCTTTGCTTGTTTTTCTAGTGACGACCTGTGCTGCTGTGGAGTTCCGCTGTGCAGACGGAACTTGCATCCCGAGATCAGCACGGTGCAACCAGAACGTAGACTGTGCAGATGCTTCAGATGAAAAGAGCTGCAGTAAGATGTCCCCCTGCTTTGGGGCATTCATGCCTGAGCACCTTCGACATTGCTTTGAGCCTTAGCCAGTTTTTTACTGAACCTCATCCAGAGCTGATATGTAATTAGCCCCTAGTGTATAACATAATTGCATATTTACTTCTTTCAATTTAGTCAATATTCTTGACTCTATGACTTACGAGAAGACTTGTAATCTTTGCAAATGAGGTGTTTTTCCTTTTTTCTGTTTCCCTCCTTCTAGATAATACAGACTGTGCACATTTCTATAAACTTGGAGTGAAAACCACAGGTTTCATAAGATGTAATTCAACTTCTCTGTGTGTCCTGCCCACGTGGATATGTGATGGGTCTAATGACTGTGGAGACTATTCAGATGAAATAAAATGCCCAGGTAATTCTAGAAAGAAAGTCTTTGCCTTGGCTATTTGTGAGGCTAGTTGTGCAGAACAATTCTTTGGAAGGTTTATTATTATTATTGGTAAACAATGATTAAGATGAACATATTAATAATGTTAAAAAACAAAAGTGATTAGCATCTTTAAAAATGCCACTTGATCTTATTTAATGAATTATGAAATGACACAAAAGAAACCTGTTCTATATTGGGATCAGTTTCCTTTCTCATATTTAATGTATCATGAATCTGATTAAAATTGTTGACTGGGGCTGAAAAATGTATAAAGCTTCTACAGAATTAATGCACATATAGAAATAACTATGTTTTTGACCATAGCTTTCCTCAATGTTATTGTACATTTTGAGCTATCATTGTTATGACATTTTGGTATAGTAGTTTGGGTACTAGTTATTTTCATTATTTGATCAAGTTCAGAAAGATAAATAATCAACCATTTACACTTACATAAAATGTGAAACATATCATTTGTGTTCTTAGCAACATACTTTCCATGACAATACCTTATTGAAATAAATTATCATTTTCATAGCTTAAGTAGATTATATATATATTCAGACAATAAGAGTTGTTAAAATACTACAGCTGAAAGTAGACATGCTATATAGAAAATTCTTTTTTTCTCCAAAGTTTTATTGACATAAAATTCACATCATACAATTCAATAGTATAATCACATCAAGAAGATTTTTCCAATTATCACCACAATCAAAGATGTAGAATATGTTCTCAATTCTTGTACACATCATTACTAGCTCCTCATTTCCCTAAAACTTCCCTGCCCAGTAGTTCCCAAAGGATCATTAATCCAGTTACTGTCTCTATATATTTACCTATCCCGAATTTCATATACAGAAAACATTAACAAACAAGCAAACCCAAGGGGGAGGAGGAACCTAACAACAGTAACAAGGTAAAACAAATAAAAACCTCACTCTCAAAGAAAGCAGAAAATATAAAAACAAGAACAAATTTAAATGGATCCAAAGGAAGGTCAAATGATAGGGTGCTAAATTTTAACCTAACTGCACCCGCAACAATGCACTTCCCAGTGCATTCTGCATGGTAACGAAGCTATTCACATCCCTGGCTCATGGTTTAATCCATATTTATATCCTCTTCACTTTTTTTTAAGCCACTTTAAAGTGGGTCAAAAGGGAGATCAAACAATAGGACATTTTGCCTTAACTACATCTGACAGAAAACTATTATGTTTGTTCTTGCCCTGTAAATTTCCTCTCCCACCCTATTGCTACAATCACTCTTTCTTCTCCAGGTTGATATGCCATGCACTATATTTTAAAGAACACTTTAAGCAATAATATTCATAGCTATTTGTATAATATCTTACTTACATACATGTAGCACATCTACAATACCCCTTACTATGAGTAAATGGCACTTTGATAGTTCATAATTGCTTACTTGACTGAAGAGTAGAGCACTCCTATTCCCCAGAGGGGTGCCCTCTGGGGATGAAGAGGCTACCTTCATCCCTCGAGATAATGGGGGAATTGTAAGTGTTGAATCACAACCCCTTTCACACTTAATTCTTTTGACGGTATTTTCAACTATATCAGTGTATTCGAAGAGTAATAGAACCATTGTTTTAACTGAAAAACCTGGGTGTCTGGATCTTTTACCCTTTGTTCTTTTGGCTAGATAGATCTTTTTAGATGATCCTAGAGGTGTTGTGCTGGTTAGGTGCCACAGAGGCAGGTCCAAGTCACTGTGACGCCCATGCAAGACAGGACCGAACACTGCCCAGACCTTCGCCCAGCACACAGTGGTTACTTTTGAGCCTATTTTTGCAGTCCGTGTGTCAGTCCATCTCATTAAGAGCCTTCTTCTTTTGAGCTGCGTTCTTTTTCTGTGGTTGAGTTTCTCCTGAAAAGGTGTGAAAAGTATGAGAGGAAGTTTCTCCAGCTTAGATTCTAAGGATCATTCTGGCAGTACTTCCTCCACAGCAGATATGTTTTTTATTCCAAACGTCCATAGTATAGTCAATATCTTTCCAGCACTGTAATTCAAATGCATCCGTCCTTATTTAGTGCTCTGTAGTCATTATCTGTCTTTCACTTGCCTGTGAGGGGTTAAAAATACCATGGCTTGAGTCAGGTGCACCTTAGTCCTGGTGCATCACATATGCCTCACATGAGAGGTAGCATATAATGAGCATGCGATAAGCCAATAATCAATGTTCCTTTATGGCGATTTCTCTATTTCTATTATTAACGAATTGTTTTAAAAGTTAACTTTCAACAATAATAAAGGATTAGGATTATATTGGTGAATAAGGGAAAGAACACCCACAAGTCTTATAAAACCCAGGCCAAATCAGAGAGAAGCCAGTGTAATCACCCTAAATTAGAATTTTTTTCTACAGAAAAGTCCCAAGCAGTTTGTGCTCCACTGCTAAAATACCCAGCAATGTCTTGAAAGAAATGATGTGATAATCTATGTCTGTTAAGATTGCAATCAAGAAACCCCTACAGAAATGTTGTACCCTATAATATACGGGGATGCTATGAGCCGAAATTTACTCAATGACAACCAATGACTGATAACATTCCAGGAATTTCTAAATAAAGAACTTTGATGATACATTTTTTCAGCACTTATTTTCATATTCACTTAGATCTACAGAACTGATGTTTTAAAATGTAACCTAGGAGAAACTTGGTTTATCTTGTCAGTCACAATGGATCGTGGTATTGTGATTAAAATAGCCTAAGGTTTACTGTCTTATTCGCTCTGTGCCACACAGTCTAAAGCTATATAAACCTGAGAGTTCAAGCAGACAGAAACCATCTAGTAAAGAGAATAATGCAGCATTATGTATGCACGCTTAGTTGTTACAGTACTACTAATGTTCCACAATTAAGAAAATAATCATTTACAAATGATTTTTCATAAAACACAATATTTTATTCTCAGTTTTTTCAGTCAGGTATCACCACTGTTGAGATTGTAGTATAGCTGTTTATCTCCTTTAAAAGACAATGTTAAATTATGTTAATACATTCTAAAAAACATAGATAAAACAAAAAGCACTCTTTCTTGACAAGCCAAGTCCCATCAGTGTTTTTAGAATTTTATGTTTTTAAGAGTATATTTATAACAAATATGGGATTAAGAACATTTTAAAATTCAGATTTGATTTTAGGTTCACTCGTCATAGTGAGCTTCTTATTTTTTATTCCCTAATCACTACATTATTTAAATTCAATGATTCCTCCTGTATTAGTCTAGGTACTTTGGAGAAACAAATCCACAGCAACTCATGTATAAGAGAGAGTTTTATGTAAAGAAAAGGTGCATCATGAAATCATCCCAACCCAATGCTGCCCAAGCCCACAAGTCCAACATTAACCCATTAACCCAACACCAGTCCACAAAGTCCTCCACCTCACAAAACAGAGGCAATGATGCCAACTGCAGGAGGAAAGCTGGGTCAGTGAACGAACAAGCATCTCAGCACTAGCAGGGGTCTCCACACGGCTGCTCCAGCACCCAGGGCTGCATCGGGATAGGTCCATGTAGCTTCTCCTTGGGGATGTCTTGTAGGAAGTCAATCTTGCAAGCTGAAGCAGGGAACTGCTAAGGCGCTGCACCTGGTGCAACCATCACAAAACAAGAGACCCGAGAACTAGAAAGGCAAGGCTTCACCACCCATTTATCCCTCCACCTTTCAACCAGCACCACATGTGATTATCGGCCAGGCTGGCACAATTAACTAACTCACCTCCCTTCTCCTTTTCTTCACTAGTGTCATCTTTCTGCTCTGAAATCAATCCAAGAAAACACAGTATATTTATCCCTGGTGTCCTCAGTCTCTTCTGATCTGTGATAGTTTCTAAAACTTACCTTATTTTTCATAGCCTTGAAATTCTGTTTTTGTTTTGGTGAAAGTTTCCAGGGTAAATTAGGCTCCCTTTTGACAAGTAGAGCCTAGCCAAGGACATCAGTTCCTTTTTCCACACTGAAACAACGTGCTCTTTACTTGTGTTCTGGTTGTTCCATTTTCAACTCTCTTTTCTCCCTGTCTCCTTACCTTCTCCTAATGTGTCCTGGTAAACTTTGGAATACAAGCCACAAGGTCAGTGGTTCAAAACCACTAGTCTCTTCATAGGGAAAATGTGGTTCTCTGCTTTTGTGATGATGTGCAGTCTTAGAAACCCTATACAGGGTCCCTGAGTTGGCAATGACTCAATAGCAGTGGGTTTGGCTTGGGACATCTTATCGTTGATTCACTCTAATTCTATTGTGGTGACCCTTAGTACGCATACAAGTGTTCCATTTTGTTTTTTACACAGGACACTATTCTAACAGGTGATCACCTCCATTTTTATTTTGTTTGTCATCCTACTTTCCTGTTAAAGGGTGACTTCAAAGGATAATTTTGATTCAAGGTATAGGATGCCTCAGGGTGATAGTCCCTGAGGATCTGGTCTCTTTTTTAATTTTATATAAAGAATATAAGTTTTACTCAGCATTTTTCTCTCATTCTAACCTCGATTATCAATTGTGCCACCAATCAGATTGGTCAGTCATGGTAGTCAGATCACATCCAACCATTTAGTTCTTCTATGACCTTGAATACTTAAGAAAATCTCACCTATTTCACATTTATTTCAAATTTATTTCCTTGCTCTTTGTCCTTTTTCCTTTATGAGCTGTTGCTGTTTTCTTACCTAGTTATATTGTTGGAAGTTAGTAATAATTGACGTGATTGAATTTTACATTGCACTCTATATTTTATCACAGTTCAAAACAAACACAAATGTGAAGAAAATTATTTTGGTTGTCCTAGTGGAAGATGCATTTTGAACACCTGGATATGTGATGGTCAGAAAGATTGTGAGGATGGACTTGATGAATTCCACTGTGGTAAGGCATTATATATTGCTTTAGTTTTGCAAATCATTTCATTTCTATATGGATGTTATCTTGTATGAGGACCTTACACAAAGCATGAGTATTAACTAATTTTAATGTCATTTATCATTTTTCAAATAATTCAAAATGGAGTTATCAAAATAGCACAACAAAAGCTACAGCAGCACCCCTATTCTAGCCTTCTGTTTCCCTTTGTTATTTTAGTGGTTTTATCCATTAATCTAAACAGTGTTCTTGCACACCCCCTTCCTGATTTCTTAACATTGGTTAGTCCTACTGTATTTAATTTCTGCAATGAAAAAAACAACATTTTGCCCATGTTACTTATTATCCCCATGGAAGAAAGATGAGGTTTCTACTCTTGTAAAGAGTTACACTCTAGGAAATCCAATGGGGAAGTTCTACTCTAATCTATGTTGTCACAACGAGTTAGGATTGACTCGACAGCAGTGAAGTATACTTATTGAGGAACCGCTGTGATCACAGTCATTGAAGTTGCTTGGCTGCTAACTAAAAGATTTGGGGTTCAAACCCACTGGCTGCTCCATTGCAGAAGTGGCAGACTGTGTGATTCCCTAACGATTTATGGCCTTGCAATCCTATGGGAGAGTCTACTCGGTCCCGTAGAATTATTGTGATTGGAGACAGATTTTATGTCAATAGTGATGGTAATGAATTAATTTTCCCCTCCTCCTAATTATTGTCAGTAATAGGATCATTGTACAATTTTCTATTAATTACAAGCGTGACTTTAAATAATGTACTAAAAATGTTATTTCTTCAAACTTGCACCACTCACCTTCCATTTATGAATTTGTGTAAATAGGTCTATTAAATTTCACATTGCCAAGGAGAATACATTGTCTCTAGTTCATTGTCTACCTTTTACAATTCTGTACTTTCTCGGTAAAATTGAAATTTTATAGGGAGAATAACATATAGTCATTATTTTCTTTTAGCACACATAATCTAAACTGTGGTGAACAGAGTCAAAAAAAGATTAAAAATGGATCATCTCTGAAATGTCAAACTCCCCTATAAGCAAATGCCATCATGGAATGTGAAGCTGTGTGCTGGTTGATTAAGAAGTGCTATATCTTTACATTAGAGCCACGTTCTAAATAAGGTTAACTGGGAAGTTTCAAGAGAGTTGATATGGATTCATAAGATCTAGTTAGAGAATCATTGTATGGTTGAATATTTCTTCATTTTACTTTTTCAGTTTTCTTCTTTGGGTACGTTTATTTTTTCTGCTTTTCTTTGCATTGACCATCTCTGTTTAATGTTTTAAACAGAGTTGTATAATTTTATTAAATAATTTATATGACCCCAAACAAAACCATAATTTTTATAGTTAGCATCTCCATTTATAACAATTCTGTTTCACTTGCAAAGATAATTTTATTGGGAAAATAAGGGGAGGGGAGAAATCACAAAATCGGCATTGGAAACACATGCAATGTGCTTTTATAAATGGCATGCCTGGTTGGTGCTTATAGTTAGCAGCTGATAAATCATAAATGGCAGTTTAAGCCCATCGAGAGACACCTCAGGGAAATGCTCGGAAATCTAAATCTCAAAAATCAACTATTGAAATTCATCTGGAGCATAGCTCCACTTGAAGATACACGAATTGTCATAAGACAGAATTTACTCAACTACAACTGTTATTATTATCATGTGGTTATTATGAACATATATTTCGATCATAAATCACCTACTGCTTGTTAATGAAGTTTAGTGCCAGTTATTCATCAATTATGATAAACTCGTGTGTTTCCAAAGGGAATACATAAAAGAATCAACATGTTAATTAAAACAGGTACTAAATCATTTGTCTTATCATCAAGCTAAAGCTTCTTAATCACATTATCTTTAAAAATACCTTTGGCCAAACATAAAATAGGCTATCAACTCTTTCCCAAAGACACATTTTTACTGGCTAATCTATACCATGATCATACCTAGGAAGTTTTACTTTTTAATTTTCTTCTCTCTTTGTTAGAGAATTTAAAGGTGGCTATATCACACCTGGAAATTTTATTTTATGTCTGTGCAACACACTTTTTAAAAATTACAAAGGGACTATGCTTAGAGTAGAATGTCCAACAGGTTGGCTAACTTAAAGTCAAGCCTTGGGAGAATCATGCTGAAGGAATCACAGTTGTTGAACTTGGAACCTCAGAGGGAAAACGCAAGCTGCTGTGAAAATTTTATACAGCTGTCATAGAGAAGGGAAATTTGGCTTGTCTTATTATAGGATTGTTGATTCTAAGAAAGCATACATTTTTCAATGGCAGATGATCTGAAAAAAATATGCATATATTTCCTTGTCTTTCTAAAACAAATTCTATTTGTTATCTAGATTCTTCTTGCTCTTGGAATCAGTTTCCTTGTTCTGCACAAAAATGCATTTCTAAACACTGGATTTGTGATGGGGAAGATGACTGTGGAGACGGGTTAGATGAGAGTGATAGCATTTGTGGTGAGTTTTTGTACTTTTTTGGTGTGTTCTCACTGTATATCACATATCAGCTATCATTTTACAACATACATAAACTTCATTGTGTATATTTAAAAACGTAAACTTATTAAAAATGTTCTTTGTACATATATATTTTTTATTTGCTGTCCATTTATGCTTTTGATCTAACCCAAACCAAACCCACTGCCGTTGAGTTGATTTTGGCTCCACAAGGACTGGATCTGGATCTTCCAAGACTGATAGTCTTACCTTTTGCCCATGAAGCAGATGATGAATTTGAACCACCTACCTCGAGGTTAGCTGCCCAATACTTGCTTACCACACAGTGCCACCAAAAACCAAAATAACAACCTCACTGCCAATGAGTCAATGCCTAAGCAGAGTGACCCTGTGGGGCAGGGTGAAACTGCCCCCTGAATGCTGAATGCTGTGACGGTTCATGGGAGTAGAAAAGATCTGCCTTCCTCTCACAGAGTGGCTGGTGATTTCGAACTGCTGACCCGTCCTTCAGAATGCAGCCCACCTCGTGACCACTATGCCACCAGGGCTCTCTGTATCAATGTACACATTGTTGTTTTACAGGAATTATCAGAAAACCCTAAATAGAGAATAATAATGTATCTATTAAATTACATTGATATACACATTATTATTCTATATTTCCAAAAACCAAACTCACTGCCCTCAAGATGATTCTGACTAGAGGACAAGGTAGAACGGCCCCCATGGCTTTCCTAGACTCCCTCTTTATGGAAATAGAGTGTCACCTTTCTCTTGAAGTAGGGCTGATAGTTTGAACTACTGAATGTGCAGTTAGCAGCTGAACCAAAGTAGACCATCAGGGCTCCTAATTTAGGGTTGTCTTATTAATGTATATTTAGGATTTTTATTTATTATTATTCTAATAATATATTAGAGTTATATATTATTAGAATAATAATTATATTATTTCTTGCAACAAATCCTATTAGTTGGATTATCTTGTTAAATGATTGAACTTTCTTTTTTCTTCTAATGGATCTTGATACACTGCCTCAGTGCCCTTGAAAAGTACTATAGGATTCTATAAAGCCACACATCACATGCTATTTGTCTTTGCATGTTATAGTTATCATTCAATTGAATTGTTTTAAATGGTGAATAAAAGAGGCTTCTGTGCATTATTTTGAAATGTACTTTAACATTGCTGAGGTAGTTAGTTTATTGTGCCAACCTGGCCAATAAACACATGTGGGGTTAATTGAAGGGTGGAGGGGTAAATGGCTCAGTGAGCCTTGGCTTTCTCGTTCTTGGGCATCTTGCTCTCCGACGGTCGGACTAGGGTGCAACTGCCTTAGCCAGTTCCCTGCTTCAGCTGGCAATGCTCACTTCCTGCAAGACACCCCTGAGGAGAAGCCACATGGACCTACCCCGATGCAGCCTTGGGTGCTGGAGTAGCCATGTGAAGACCCCTGCCAGCGCTGAGATGCTTACACATTCACTGATTATGCTTTCTTCCTGCAGTTGGCATCATTGTGTCTGTTTTGTGAGATGGAGGAGGACTTTGTGGATTGGTGTTGGACATATGGGTTAATGTTGGACTTGTGGGCTTGGGCAGCACTGAGTTGGGATGTTTTCTTGATGCACACTTGACCTTTATATAAAACTCTCTTATGCATGTTTCTGTGGATTTGTTTCTCTAAAGTACCCAGCTAACACAATTGTATTAGAGGAATAAGGGAATTTATGCCAAAGGTCTACATTTAGATACTCTATGTTAAGTGCAAAGTCAGAGCAATTGGTTTTTAATCATTTAAATAATTTAAGTGTAGTTGAAATGGAATCATTTGCCATTTTTTAAATGCATGAGTTTAAAAAAATAATACAATCTGGTTTCTTATAAAGTGTTCATATTTACTTAGACTAAATCTATCTTATCTATCTATCATCTATATAACTCATCTATTGAGCTATCAAGTCATCAATCTATTCATGTCTCTTTTGCCATTATCATCTATCTAATGCATGTGGGGAATGAGGTGGGAGTGTATGGGACCCCTAGTGATGTAATGATTATTCATGGGACTGCTAATCACAAGGTAGGCAGTTTTAAACTACCCACAGTTCTATGGGAGAAAGACATACTTTCCACCCTGTAAAGAGTTAAATGCTAGGAAACTCACAGGGGCAGTTTTACTTTGTCCTATAGGGTCGCTATTAGTCAGCATCAAATAGATGATGGTGTGTATACCTATATATCTATCACCATATATTGTTCACTCATTGCATTGGTTCATTTGATTTCAATGGTTGTGATTATTGTGTCAGAGGAAAGGACCAGAGTCACAGATCACAGAGTAAGGGACATGTTTAGAGCTGAGTCTACTTGGCACCTCTTTGAAATTTTAGGATTTGTGGTTGCATTTTAGGTCACTACCATAGAGAAAGAATTAGTGCTAAAGCTAAAATTAAATTCTAAACAGCTTGTGCTAACTTTCATAGAGCTAAAGAAGTTCTCTGTGACTAATGTGAAATTGGAGATATTTTTGCAAATACATTATTTATTTTCTTATATTCCATCCATTTAAAATCTACTTTTTATGTACACCATTGATATCACTTTGCATAATAAAGGCAATCAAAATGAATGTAGAAAGGTCCATAAAAGTAAAAATAATCAGATCTCTTTAAATATTTTATTTCCTATGCTGTTAAATGTCTCTTTACTTTTACAAAGTGATTATTTGTTTGAAAAAGCATGAGCGTACACCCGATGTATAATCCCTTTTCTCTTTGGACTGTTTTGTTTGACCGTACGCTAATCAGAGTGTGCACATTAAAACAGAAAGGGCCAAGTTTCTACAGTCACACAAAATCAATTTATCCTCTGTGGGCATACTTTCAGCTATCTGACCATCAAAAAGTACATATTAATCCTCATCCCTGACCTATGAAAAGGGCACAAAAAGATTTATGTCTTATAGCCGTCCTGGTCATATAACATAGCCAATGTGTAGTACATGAAAGTTTATTCCCGTCTTTCTTTGTTCTTCACCGTCTCGTTGGTTCTGACTGTGGCAACTCCAGGTGTTTCCAGCGGGCTGCCAATGGCTGTGACTTTTTGAAGGAGGCTCTTGGCGTCCTAGAAGCCCAAGGTGGAATTATGCTGCCCACTTTTCAATTAGTAGTCATGTGCTTATCTAAGCCACACAACGATGACACATTTTCCAAGGTGTTAATGCTAATTCTATATCTATCAATGTCCTGATTTTTTTAAGTACTAAAATGGCAATGACAGTGTTCACTGTGGTCAAACACTTAATCTATTCAATGTAATGAATAGGTATGGTTGTGATTATTTTATCAGATAGCTAGCAAGTGAGTGACACTTGAAGGTAAAAAAAGATCTTAGACTAAACACTAATCAATAAACTGAACCTAATATTTTAAACTTGGAAAGGAAATACAAATTATTAATTTTGATGGTTCTCAGCCTTTGGTATATAAAGAAAAATCCTTCCCCAAGGTTTGTAAAAATAAATACATAAAGGAGATTCTCAATCCCTCCCTCCAAATATTCTGATGTTGGATACACATATATACATCCTTAATAAGCATGCAGTGATTCTACTTTAGGATTCTGATGTTCACACTTCGAAAAACATACTCTAATCCATTTGCATAATCCAATAGTTGAATAAAGAGAAACGTACAGAAGATAGTACATTATCCTGAGGTCACTCATAGTTGATGGCAGAACTAGGGTCAGAATTCAAGTTTTCTCAATCTTAAAGATAGTAGCAGCTTGTGCCAAGTGGATATCGCACAAGATTCAAGGACTAGAATCCCTTGAGGCTATTGTCCTGCTCCTGTGGGACCCCATCCTTCCCACCCTCACCTCAAGAAGGAAATTGCCTTTATAGATGGCAGTGGGAACTAAGGAAGAAAACTATGAGTTCTGTTTGTTTGTTCTGTTTTCTTTTTCTTTGGGCCCATTTTCTTCCTAATTAACTATGTTTGCCATGTTCTTAACCCAGAATCTGTTGAACATTATCATGAGAGCCAGAAAATTAGCTGCAAAGAATATTATGTTATTTTATAACTAAGAGCTATCTTACTAATGATCTAGGCACACCCACCCTCATTTTAGAGTTAGGGAAATTCAGACACTGTTCTTCTCCAAGGTCAGACAGAATTAGGTTTCTTAATTTGCAAATCGGCACTATTTCTATTATGGCTACGTTAGAAAAATCAGAGTTATAATAAAAAAGTAAGTAGGTAGTTTTACATTTTTTGAGATTCTGTTAGTTGAAAAAATGCAATTGTTTTTCTGGAATCAAGGTAAATTATAAAACTGTAACCAATATTCAAGCATTAACTTGAGAGCACAGTAAGTAAAATGGTGCCGTACATAAATTGTATGACAAACATGACAAGATAAATAATAAAGGAGAATAAAATAAAGATAATTTTTATAGAAAGTGCTAAAGATGTTAGAAGCCACAAGTAAATTTACTTTTAAATGAAATCAACATTTATTTAATAGACTATTTTTCTGATTTCTCTTTGTAATAAATACCACTTTAGACTTCATTATTACTGATACAAGCAAAAAGAAAGTTTGAATTACATGGGGCCATTTTTTGGCATTTGCTTGTCATCCCATTTCCAGCTAGGGTATATATCAGGGATAAGCATATTTATGTTGAAGAAGTTCACTAGTAGATGTTATTTTGTCTTATCACTGCTGTCTATGAGGAAAACTGCATTGGATGCATTTTCAGCTCAGAGCAATTCTGTAAATAAAAAGCAAGAAACTAATGATAACCCAGCAAAGGCAAATTCCTCACTGATACAAAATGCTCACAAACCATGGATCATTTATATTTTCTTCCTATATTTTTGAATAATTCTAATTTTTTATACCATTCATTCTGTACAGCATTGGTAACAAGAAAGTGAGAATTTTGTAAAAATTGTATTTGCAATCATGTCACTGAATCATACAGCCAATATTTTCTATAATTAGCAAACAAGCCATTCCTATCATACATAACTGTACTGTGGCTAGGAGACATTATGAGAGATCTGATTTATACGGCTGCCTTACGCTCATGCAATGGAAAGGAAGGCGAGCCCACCAAATGAGCTTTTGAATTTCGAGTCAGTGAGCATTTATTTGCTGTATACTTTGAGGGACATCATCATACAACCTGGGGACACTAAATTGTCATTGCTAAATGTTGTAGAGTCAGCTCTGACTCATAGTGACTCAGTATACATATGGTCATGCGGTATTCCCAGAATTACTCCTGTGTTTGAGCTCATTTTTGAAACCATGTATCAATCCATCTTGTTGAAGGTCTTCCTCTTTTGTTGCTAACCCTCTTCCTTCCAGAACATGACGTCTTTCTCCAGGGACCGAGACCTTCTGCGACAAGACTAAAGCAGAGGAGGAAAGAAACGAGTCACCATTCTCTCTGCTAAGGAACACGGTGGAAGGGACAGAGCAGCAACAACAGAGAGTAGACTTTGATGTTAAGCATGTAAAACAGAGGGATCATGGGCATTTAATTTTCAGTTAAAGGAAGTGGGGAGTCATGATAACATCACATACCAATGATATTTGCCTTTAGTGGGTAAGAGAAGGTGCTTAGGTGTCAGAAGGGTTTGCCCTCCTAGCTCAGCATGTGGTATTCTTTGCAAATTGTGCCTTTCAATAAGCTTTTCAATTTCCCTGAATCTAAGTTTCCTAACCTTTGAATGAGACTAATAATAGCATTATCTGATGAGGTTATTGTGGTAATTAAATGAATGAATTTTCTCAGTATGTAGGGCATATTGAACAAACAAATGCACTGATGATGATGGTTATCTATTAATTTTGTCCTTTGAAATGCTACTGCTTGGTTTATTCATCCTTCTATGACAATTTTATGGGGTTTCTTTTTGCTAAATTAGCAAAGAGAAAAGACATTATTGACCACCAAGTTGCTTTAAGAAATATGGCCCTTGCAAGTAGGGATGAATGTATTCATTACTGTAATTTATTCCTCATCCAGATGTGTTTCTGCTGTGCTTCCTTTCCATACCATTGTATAGGACAGACTTCTCCCAGCGAGCAGAGAGTGATTTCAATAGCATGTCTCCTTTGGGTTTCAGGTGCCATCACCTGTGCCGCCGACATGTTCAGCTGCCAGGGCTCTCGTGCCTGTGTGCCCAGACACTGGCTTTGTGACGGTGACCGGGATTGTCCAGACGGAAGTGATGAGCTCTCCACAGCTGGCTGTGGTAGGAACACCGCCTTGCCGTCTGTTTCAAAGCACACTGCAGCATCCTGGGATGCTTTCTTCTCACAGCACTGAGCCATAGCATGCTTTTTCTCACCCTCCCCATCCCTGAACACAGAGGGAGCGTCAGACTTCATCAAGTGGGACGTTGCTATCATAGTAGCTCAGAAACTCCTCAACTGCTGTTCAGAGTGTTCCAAACACGTGCAGTTTGGGATTACCCATTACAAAACCATGTTGATGAGCATCGGTTCATCATCTCACTTCTTGAATAATATTTGTAAAGGATGTGTGTGGGAGCACAGATGTTTTATTTCTTTTAACACCCTTTCACCTCATGAAGGGCTCTAGGTTGCCTGCTCTAGATATTCTGTAAATGGCTTCTCTGAACCCATGTAACTACTGATCAGAAGGTCAGTAAACACATATTAGTCGTACGGATAGAGTATTAACCCTCGGGTCAGGTGAAAATAGTATGGATACAGCTGAACGATGCTGTGATATCAGAGGAACACCTTTGCAGGTCAGACAATTTACTGCGTTTCTGACTTTAAATCACCTTGGGAACTTTTCACAGGTTTACTCAATAACAAAAATTTAGATAAATTCCAGTAGGATGAAGGGACGACGTATTTTAATGCAGAGCCGAGGGTCACAAAGGGGATTCTTTTTAACTAAGCAATGTATCAGGAAGAGGGCTAGGAACTCTGTTCCTTAGAGTAACTTCTGAAATTCTCTCTCCAAAGGTCTTGAGGGCTTTAAGCATTGTGTGTTCATTGAGAACAGTTAAAGCAGAGAAGAACAAAGAGAACTTTAAGGCAGGTCTATTTGCACAGAACTCAGGCAATTGTTGTATAATAATTCGATTTGATCTTGAAACTGATATATTTGTCTCTAAAGGTCAATGAGGCCACCGAGGGCTACGTAACAAAGGATTAAGCATCACTTCAGGGATCCATATGGTCCTAGTATGTTCTTGCCATTGTAGCAAGTTAACACTCTGGGAAGCATATTAACATTTTTGTACCTCGTGGGACCTATAAAGTAAATCATGCTAAAATACAACAAATTGTACTTGAGTGACTGGAACATGTTGATGCCAAATAAGTCACTGTTGTTGAGTCTTTTAAAAATAATCTATGCACTACAATTGGAAAAATTCACTTGATTTATATAAGCTATCACAAAGTTCAAAGGTCGACACTTATGAGCAACTTTGGGTCTAATTCTTATTACAATAAACACTTAAAAATGCTCCCCCTATATAATCTCCATATAATTTTGAAAATCTGTTTGTTGAAAATAAATTCCACTTTATTAAACTTCTTTAAAACAAACAAACAACAATCAAAAAACCTAGACATGAGTCCATGCAGACGTCCGTCATTCCTGAGCTGAAAGCAGACAATTCTGTCCTCCTTTGTCTGGGGAATTCGGGTCAGATGCGCATCAGAGAGAAGAAGCCTGTGAAAGAATAGACATGCAGCGGATAAGTCTGTAGCAGAACCATGAGTTGTTCGTCTGATACACTTTAAAGAACAACACTCACAGCAGAAACAATAGGTCATTGTGGAGGAATATTGCATAATAAACCCCAGACATCTCAAGAAAGGATTTTCAGAAAAAGTAATAGCATTTTTGGCGTCTTCAAGGAACAGAAGAAAGGAGATGCTGTAGGTCAGCAGTTCTCAACCTGTGGGTCGCAACTTCTTTGGGGGTTGAACCCCCCTTTCACAGGGGTCACCCGATTCATAATAGTAGCAAAATAATAGTTATGAGGTAGCAACGGAAATAATTTTATGGTTGGGGGGTCACCACAACATGAGGAAGTGTACGAGAGGGCCACAGCCTGGGGCCGGTGGCAAAGCACTGCTCTGGGTAAAGGAAAGTACCTCATTTGTGCAGGGAGGCAGGAAGGGCTTCACATTCTTCCCCATTGTGCATTAAACTTCAATGAATGGGGTAGATACTTTTATTTTACTATCATTTTTATTATTTTCTTATTCTCTTATTATCCCAGTGAAGAGTTTTTGAGTATGTGCTAAAAACAGCTTCATAGATGTAACTTAAATTGCACCTAGGAATTACATTTATAAAATGAGCTGCTCATCTTCCCATATTTTACATATTCCATTGAATCAATCTATCACATAAACATTTTCATTCACATTAAATGAATAAAGAAACAGAGACTCCAAGAGGGTCAATAACTTCTCAAGGACGTAAGTACTGAGTGAGGCACCTCTCTCTATGGTGCCCTTTCTGATGTCCTAGGGAACAGATAGTAGATTATAAGCATTCACAATCTCTTAAATCTTATTCTAATCTATAGAGTAAAATAGATCATATCATAGGTTTTATTCTTTAATTTAAAAAAATGGTTAATTGAAAAAAATTACCCTGTCAAACCTCTAATGAGTATATTATTAAAAGTGTTTATTTTGTTTATGCACATTACCTTTTTTGGGAGCTTGCACAGAAGTTTGATTGCACATTCTGATTATTGTTTTTCCCACTGTTCAGGACATTTGCTAAAATGCGAGTTACATGGATTGGCATTTTTATGCCAATTGTGTGGTAGAACTCATCACTTCACAGAATCTTATTTTACCTAATCTGACAGTCCATTCTATAACTCATCTAAAATTAGTATCTTCCTAATATCAATACCTTTTTCAGCCCTTGTTGTTTTATTTCCCTTTCCATCGTAAGCATTAATACTTGGATATCTTTTCATAAATAGTCTTCACCAATAAACAAGGAATTTATTACTGCACTAGCATTACTCCAGGCAAAAACAAAACCCACAAAACAAAAACAAAAAAATCACCCATACTATTATAGCATAATGATATTTTCCCCTCATATATGAACTCTTTAATTCATGGTCCAGTAAAAGTTACACACTTTAATGGTTTGAAGTTTTGATATCATTCTGGAATTATAGAATTGCCTAATATGAGACATTTTGAATGTTTATATATATATACATACATACATACATATATACGTAAGTGTTATGTAATTATAATAATATATGCATAACATTATAGCTGTATAGTATTTTAAATGCATGTACACATATATAAATAGACATAGTTATATAAAGTTCTTTTAATACAGTTATATATTTATAGATATATTTGTATGTACATATATATAGTTATTTTCCTAAAATATTAAAAGTACAACATACAACAGATTATGGTAGTGCTTTATGTGACATATTGAACATGGACATACACTTTTTTGGGTTAATTATGAATCACTGAATGTAATATCATATATTATTCACGGGCCTAAGATGGAGGAGGATGGAATATGTACTCAGCTAACTTCATATTTTGTCTTTCCTAGCTCCCAATAATACATGTGATGAAAATACTTTCATGTGCCACAATAAGGTCTGTGTCCCGAAGCCATTTGTTTGTGATCATGACGATGACTGTGGGGATGGCTCTGATGAGCCCCAGCAGTGTGGTAAGTATATCCACGTATATCCAAGCCTTCCATTGAGAGGACTCTAGATGAGCCAAGTCTTATGAAATGACATAGGGTTATAAAAATACATTTTAAAAAGAAATAAATACAGTTCCTCCTCACTAATGACTAGTCCATTCAGAAATAGGTAGATGAGCTACACATGACAGTAAACTAACAATCCTAGTATGGTTAATAGGATTACTCGGATTCCATTAATTCAATGCTGCAACCCAGTAAACGTGGTTCAGCCGGGCATCTGCAGCCATGGAGAGCTGCCCACAAGTTCTCCCAAAGACCTGCTTGTCTTCCGCTCCTCAGAGCACCTTAAAAATGCGATTAAAACACTGCCTTCCGAGGGTTTCTGTTGATTGTTAAATTCAAAGTAGAGAGGTCTACTTCGATGACTGTGATGAGTGTGTTTTGTCTTTTGACTTGAACCAAAGGAGTAGTTTGAAAGTTTTTCTTGAGAAACACAGAAAAATCATGGGAGCTTATTTGGAAGAGGCTTTAAGAAAATTAAACGTTTCATTATTGAGAAAGTGGACAGGACAATTCATTGAGGATGTTCTCACCCCATCACAATGATGTACTGGTTCAATCTTCAAGGACAGCACCCTATGACCCTGGTCTTGCCTATTTAGAGGCTTTTTGTTCCCCCACCTGAGAGAACTGAGACCTATCTGAGTTTTATAAAAAAGGTCAAACGGCCATTTTGATGTGGTGTCAGTCAAACAGTGTAAAATTCTTTAGGGAAAATATTAGCAAGAAACACCACTGTGAGAAGTATATAAACCTGAATGGAGTATATGTTGACAAACAATAGCTTCACATTTGATAGTTTTCTTTAATAAAAGTTTCTATGATTTTGTAGCAATACTTTTCGGCCTTCCCTTATTGTTGTTGTCAGGGACAATCGCCAGGCTCCAACCCATAACGACCCTGCCCATGACAGAAGGAAACACTGCCCAGTCCTGGCCCGTCCTCACAGTTGTTCCCATGCCTGAGCCTAGTCATGCAGCCACCGTGTCAGTTCATCTCACTGAGGCCTTCCTATTAAGGATTCAGAATGTATTTTATATTGTCATATGTTTAGAACTAACTAATGGCATAGTACAGAATATCAAAGAACAATGAATGCATTTGAATTATGGTTTTGGTGAAGAATATTAAATAGACTGTGGTCTAGCAGAAAAATGAACACATTTGTCTCGGAGAATGGACAGACAGAATGCTCAGTAGAAAGGAGGGGAGTAAGACCTTTCTTGGGACTTGCCCCTGCAGAAGAACATTGTGCTTGGCATAGTAAGTGGGTCAGTGAAAAAAAAGTCCTTTATTTTCAGCAAAGAAGTATTTGTGAGGATGCCACAGTACCAGGCAGTATTTCGCCTTGTGTGCACAGTGTTGCTATCACTTGGACCCAACTCAATGGGACCTAAGAACAATCATCTTGCACAGAAGTGATAATACAACTCAGTAATATGTTTTATAATCTCCACTGATCATTTAAGATATGTGATTTAATTTCAGCTACAAGGGTGAAGATTTCTAGGATAAGAGGAGTTTTCTTCTAGTTATACTCTCGCCTTGAAAGGCATTCTCATGGAAGGTGAAATGCCTCAATGTATAGATATTAGCGAAGCATTAGCAATTTTGGATACTTGGCACTTGATTTGTCTCCTGTGCCAGTTTTTGTTTCTTCCTTGGCTAAGTCCATGCCTTTCTCTGCCTTGCCATCACCATATTTGGATGGACAGAATGAATTGTTCTTAAAGATCCTTTCCACTGCCTATGCAAAGCTTCCATTAAGGCGGTATTTCATTTCAACAAGATACGTGCTCTCATTAAATTCTGTATATCTTTGAAAAATCAACAAATGATTAAATTCCACATGGACTTGAAAAATCAACAAATACTACAAAGACTTGTAATTTGACAAGATTGAGGAGTATCAACAAGTCTTTTTTTTAAGGATATATTGAATATTAATTCTAAGAAATAAAATAAAACAGAAAAAATACCCCTGAAGTGGAATGTTAAGGAATTTGGATTTGAATCGTTGGGCTCTCCAAGGACAATAGATATTTTGAAATGGAGAAATTACAT